ATACAACATTGATGCTGTTTGAGCTGTACAAAAAGACAACGTTTCAAATTTATAGTCACTGCTCCAAGCAAAGAAATAGTCAAACATCAAAGTTATGACTTAACTTAGTAAGGATTATTAGTATTATTATTATTATTATTATTATTTGTTACGGCTCAGTGAGTAAAACACGGGAGGTGGACCCAAGTGCAGAGCTAAAAGAAAGGATTTATTTAAAATAAAGATCAAAATGTCAAAAACACAAAAAAACAAGGAGCCACGAGGAAGCACAAGAGACACTAGCAAACTGACATACCACAAACACATACACCTACAACATACATGCAACAATGAACTGACACAGGAGGGAAGAAACACAGAGACTAAATAGACACAGGGGTAATCAAACACAGGTGAGACTAACAAGACGCAGGTGAGGACAATCAGGGCAATCACAATGGAGGGAAACACACAGACAGGAATACAAGAAACACTGAGGACAACTACAAACTAAATCATGAAACACTAAAAACACACAGAACTCAAGAATGAACAAAACACACGAGAACAAGAAGAAACACTAAACACTGAAAAACCAAACAAGAAAAAGACCAAACCATAACAATTATTATTATTATTATTATTATTAAGGATAATTAACAACTCATGAGAGGTGTGCAGAAACGGAGGATTAATTCAGGCCCAACAGCTCATTTTTGCCCCCTAATCCAGGCACACATAGTATAGGGTGTGCACACACCTTTATATGAAAATCAAGCTATATACCTAAAACCAACATTTATCCTTTCAACAGCCCTTTGAATTGAGCATTCTGAAAGACGCCTTTGTTTGAATAATTTTCCTCTTGTGTTTTGCCACTTATCATTTCATACTTTGACTCTCATTCATAAATAAACTGTGAGCACCTCACTGCATAGCTGCACCATATGAGCCAGATTACTTAAACAGTACAGAGGGGTTGAGAGGAATAGTCTTTACTGGGTATTCCACAAACACTGTCCACTCAGGGTCCCTTTATTTGCTTAATCTGGAGCTCTTAACTGTTTGGCACTAATCTTTTTCCCCAGATTGGTTTGGTCAGTCAATGCAAGAGTACAAATCCAATTAGACTTTTCAAAAGTTATTGGAATATACTGGATGTCCAGTGCACATTTTCTGTAGACTTTTTAATAACAAAGACATACAATTATGCATGTATTATTATCTGTTAGCTAAAGTAACTTTGCATTGTGATAAGAAAGAAGTCATATGGCGGAAGACCTTTTCTGAACTTCTTAGTTGTCGGTATCTCTGGACTGTTATACACACGCTTGGACACATGCAGGGGTGATGCCTGTGTTAACTCTGGGTCAGTGCTTTTAGGAAGTGCCTACACCGGTTTGCGTGACAGTATGCATGCAAGAGTTGTGTCTTGTGATCAGTTGATGATGGTGGTTAAATATACATTCTTGTCTTTCATGAGTGGGGATGAATGGGAGGTAAGACTTCCAGCAATCATTTCAATCTCTGCTTCCAGCAGCCTGTTGGATCACTCTGTATTAAAAAAGAAAATCCCAGCAACAAATATAATCAGCCTCAAACTTTATTGTATGTGTTTATTCTAAGTATTTGGGCCAATTATATTATAATAATAATATGCGCTCGGATGACTCATCTGCTTTAGCAGTATGGACATGGTTGATACAACTTTTGAAAGACCGAATGATTTGACCCCTGCTTTCTACTGTGGACGTTGATCATTATTAGTATGAAAATTAATAAATTCATCTTCCAGCAAAAAAAATCAATTAATCAAACCTTTATTTATTCTCGAAAGGACATTGAAAAACCAGCAAAAAACAAAACACATATAACTAATTACAAAGACAATAGAAATCAATAAAAACAGAAATTAATAGTATTCACTGAGTCATCTTAAAAGTCACCAAATTCCTTTGGTGAAATAATGCTTGGTAACAGGAACTAAGTATACGTTGGACTGGAGCTTGATAACACAGCTTATGTGCTGTTATTGATGATCGACTGTAATGATTTGCTCTGTTGATGTTCTGCTGGAGTCGATGTCATGCATGTTTGTGGGGGCAGTAACTCTTTTGAGGAAGTAAAGTTTTCAACCACATAGTGAAAGATAAGCTGAGCTAGCATTTTTTAAATTTTCATTTCATAACCTTTAATGTTTCACTCAAATGCTTAATCCCTGAGTAGGATAGTTAAAAAAGGACAATACTGCGCAACTGCTTATTTTAACCCATTAGCATCCCATTTTTCATTTAACATGATTGATTACTCATTGCAAGTCAGAATTGGCGGCATGATATAGTTTATAAAAGGGGTAATGGACCAATTTAGTGTTGCACTTCAATTTGATCTGTGGACCTGCAGGAGAGTAGAAAACATTTCTAATCACACTCTAATATCTAATAAGGGATCAGACCGTTTAACAGGTTTAATTTTTAAAGCATGTGAGACATGTGGGAGCGAGCTTACTGTGAATAACATGCAGTGTCGAGTGAACTCATGGTGCTCTTGTTCTTAGTGGTTGTCAGTCATTGCCTTTGTTATTATCACTAGGTTTAGTCAAACTGTAGACAAGATTAGGGTGCAACATATCATTAGAGTGGCCAGTGTGACCATTTGTTTTAAACTGCCTGATCGTCCCCACATCTTTTACAAGAGAGCAACCTGCGAGGCTCGAGACATTTTACAGGTTTCTCTCCATCTTCTGTTTGGTGAATTTGAGCTCTTACTCTCTGGAAGGAGATAAAGACAGCAAAAGGTTAGGTCAGATTTATATATTTAAGTGTCCTTATTGTTTCATTTTTGTGAGGTTCAAGAGCTAGTTGATTAAAGATTTTAAAGTTGCTGTGTATAAGCCTTTGCCGATGCAATATTTGATGGATTATTTTACGCTGTGGCACTCTGAAGACACTGGTGTCATGACTCTCACACTGAGGAAAGGATCTCTTACAGACAGTAGTATCCGCTGCCAGCACAGTGATTACTTAAATTGCAGCTGTCGTTTTTAAATTAGATTCACATCTAAGATTCATCTTAATCCTCCACTGAGAAGTTTAGAGCTTGTTTTCAAAAAGACATTAAAAGAACTGAATACTGTCGTCCTTTATGATCAACAAAAGCAAAAAAAAACATTAGCGACAAGATCGACAATCTATCTAAGGTCAGATTATGTGATTAACAGGACGCTGCATACACAGATTTTGTTAATATGTTCAACAGCGAAGATCCACAGCCAGGGATACTGTCTGCAATTTGTTCAGACACGTGTACAATACTGATACCAAACTGGATAACATTGTCTTTATTGATCATTATACATACTCCGCACAATATATACACTGTTAAACACAGCACATTTTGTATATTTACACTTGTAAATGTTCTACATATATTAAATTCCCTGTGCTTGCTTATATTTCTATTTCTATTTTATTCTATATTCTATATATATTCCTATATCCTACTGCTACTGAAGCGTTTGATGAATAAAGTATTTCTGATTCTGATACATGACTATTGCAGTTGAAAGACATCTTTATGTCAGAATATATGGTTGAACCTGACAAGATCAGCAAAGAGATAAGATTTACAGCTCAGTCCCCAAAGAGCGGGAAACTGCACTCCACAGTTCCCAGGAGCTTTAAAGATGCTAAAATCAAATAAAGATAGATAGATAGATAGATAGATAGATACTTTATTGATCCCGAGGGAAATTCAAAGCATCCAGTAGCAGGTTACAAAGACGTACATGAAACATTTGTTACAAATTAACCACAAAACCGACGCCCCACTCCCATACAAATATATTAACCTGAAAACAAGATTTAAAGAATCCCCCTAGATGAATCAAACTTAAACTGTGCAATTAAAAATAGACGTATACAAGAAATGTACATAACCTGTGCAGGGATACAAATATATGTGAAATTTAAACAAGAACCTATAAACAGTTGAGGAAAAAAATCTGTAATTAGACCTGAATATAAAAAATCAAAAAGTGTTGACCTTCTGAAGTTGTGTTGTTTATATATGTACAGCAATGTTTAAAAAGCAGATAGTGCAAAATGATCAAAAAACAGACATTAAATAACAGGCAGTGCAAACATTAAATTAAAGGTGTAATTTAAGTAATTGAGGTGATCATTAAAGTGTAGAACTAGAGGCTGACTCTTGGGACAGCTGTGCAGATGGGAACTGGAAAAAGGAAGATTTAGTCCAGGTGTGTGCTTTCCACCTGCCATAACCGTGAGGTGTTGTACAGACGTACGGCCAGGAGGACAAACGAGTTCTTGAGTCTGTCTGTGGAACAGGATTGGGACAGCAGTCTATCAATAAATTCTCCACACGCAAGTTTTTTATTTATTTTCCAAGTAGGTTGAATCTTTGAAGGCTAAGTTGACCAGACTTCTGATTAATGTGACCTTTCCGGTGCAGCTGGAAGTCAGACGTTTACTTTCTGTGTCTCAGTCAAATATGCTGAACTTCTCAGGAGATACAGAAGGTTAAAAGTATGTTTTTCATCTGGAGAAGCCTGTAGTATCACGAAATGTCATGAGTTCCTGTAGAATCATTTGTTAGGATTGCCTGTCTACAAGTGATAAGACCAATCAAGGGTGCTTTGTTTATTTGGACTAAGACATGACAGCTAATATGCATGGCACTCACCAAGCTGTTTCCTTGTGCAAGTCTCATGACCTTTTGGCCAAAAAGGTCTTGCCAGCCCTACCAGCATCCTCATCTGGATGTACTGGTAGGCCTATGTCTCATGGTTTCATTGGCACTGCTGATTTTCTTTCTGGGAATGCAGGAGTGATACTCTCTGAAGCCATAAGCTCTCAGAGGAGAGAGATTTTCTGTGCTGCACATCAGAGAGTGATTGACAAAGAGAAAAAAAACATTGGGTAGGACAGAAGGAGAGGGAGGGAACTGGTGAAGAAGAGGAAGGAAGAGCTGGACTATATAAAAAAGACGAGAGCGGGACAAGAGCAGAAAGGTGTGGTTTGTGAGATCACTTAGGGGGACCCTCAGAGACTGAACAGTGAGTATGGGAGAGAAGTAAACTGAGAAATATTACAACTTTACATGCACTTTTATTTTTTTAATGGATTTTACCTATTTATAGCCTCATAGATGGTGTTTGCATCTATTAATCTATTCCTTATTTAAATGTTATTTTTTCACCTGAGAATAATTGTACTTTCTTCAAAAAAAGCTCATGCTGACATTTCTCCAAAGGTATCAGAAAATAAATTCATCCTGTTCTGTGCGTGTGTGCTTGTATGTCCATGCAGGTGAAAAGATAGTGTTTGGGAACAGTCGGTGTGTGTGTGCGTGGATGTGAGTGGGACCATGGCGGGTCTGGGGAACAGCTTGGTGGTGAAACGTGGGCTCACCTTTGCTACTGGCCTGTTGGAGTGTCTATGTTTTGCTGGAGCCGTGTTTGGGTGGGCTTCGCTTGTGTTTGTCCTGAAGACAGACGGCTACTTCAGCTACCTGTGCACCAACACCACAGGAGTCAATGCAACGCAGGTCCTAGGTCAGTTTGAATCAGCAACCCCAATACTTTAAATCATCATTGTCTGTGTAAGTGATGCGATTATAGTTATGATCATAAAATATGTCTATACAGCTTGTCTAACAGCATTCTTCTAAAACTTGGTTCTTTTTTTATTCATCCACAGATTGCAGTGGACAGGATGAACAATTTTCACTTGTTTTCACCATCGCCTCCTTTATGAACAATTTCCTGACACTACCCAATGGCTTTCTCTTTGACCGCTTTGGTACTACAGTCGCTCGCATTTTTGGAATGTAAGTCTAAAAACACCTTATTACTTTGCGGTGCTTAATCAGTGGAGTAACAGATCTTCAATGTCATTTTTTACCAAAACAGTTGTTTTGAAGTGACTACCTTTGACGTGCAAAGAACAATTTAAGATGTCATTTATTATTTTTCACCAGCAGTTTTAGGTGCAATAATAACTTTTTCTTAATTTGCTGCCCTGCTTGTGTACTAAGATGGTGATGTAGTTTTGGAATAAGATCAAATGTACAATCCTATTGATAATACGTTTTCCCATGATTTTAATAGATAAAGGAGAGCGGTCATATATTCTTTACCAATTACCAAACAGTTCATAAACTAACCATATAGCATAAACAGAAAATAACGCCAAAATACTGTTTTAAATAGGTTGTTTTATTTTGCAGGTAACTCTTTTACTTCAGACAGCAGCTTATTAAGATATCACAGGATACAAAGTCTCGGTTAAGCGCTGAAGAACAGACAATTCATTCAAAGTCTCTGTGTCTCATAGCTTTGTGACAACAGGTGGAACCAAGCTCTTAATGTCACTTAGCTTGATCATCTCAGCTTTCTCTACTTAAATGCTCCTTATTTCAACCTGTTACTGAACAATGGTAATAACACAGAGGTCTGACTTTAAAAAGCCTACAACAGAATGAGCCCTGTGTTCATCAGATGTAAAATTAAACAAAGAAGAAGAGTGGTGGTGGATTTTTATGCCAAAAAACAAGTGCACTGTGCATGCTCCTGCGAGGGAAAATGGGCTCGTAGAATAACGAGAACAGGGAAGAAAGCACATGCAAAAAGAGAGGTTAGAGCAGATTTCATGAGGGATGCTATAAAGTAACTAAGGTCTCCAGAAGAAGAAAAAATAGTTTTTTGTTGTGCTGACACTCAAACCTGTGACTAAAAAGTCAGTTTTTCAGCCTCATTGTTGATATCTATCATATAACAAACGTTTCATACACGAATCTGCTTAGTCTGTTGCCACAGATGTATAGAAGTCCACAATAACAAACTGGCACTAAGGCCGTCCATATGTTTCAACTAAAAAAGGGTGTGGGAAAATAATGGCAAAGTTGTGCAAATAATTGGTCAATTGATGAGGATGGAGGGCAAAGGAGAAGTTAATTAAAGGGGGCTTAAAGTTTCCAAACAGCAGAACCTGCCTTTGAACATGAGTTTATAATCTGACATTTTTCTTTAATTGCTGAAAGTTTGTACTTTATTTCTTTTTTTAATTAAAATTCTTACTTATCTCTTTTTCTGTGGCTGGGATTCTTCTAACCTGCTTTTAAAATGAAATGATGAAACTTGATTTGTTCCCCCCCAGCCTTCTTTACACTATGGGTTCCTTGATGGTGGCTTTCTCGTCTTCAGGTAAAAAACAAACATTTATTGTCAAAAGAAATACTGCTGAGAAATAATCTGATACAAGTGAAGACACTCATTTTCTCCTCCTGTTTGTGTTTCTTTTTCCTTCAGTTTTGTCCAACCTGCTCTTTCCAGCTCTCTCCCTCCTGGCAGTAGGCGGCATGTTGTTCCTAGTCACCAACATGCAGGTAATGAAGCAGTCAATGAACGCTATTCATTTCATGATTTTGGAATTCAATTGACCTTTGATGACAAAAAAAAGTGTATTCGACAATTTGTCAGGGCCAAAACTGACACTATGCAAATTCCTTTTTTTTCCCAGAGCCCTGAAATTTGCATATGATCATAAAATATAGAAAACAGCATGAAACAATACAGTTATATCAGTCAGTTAATCAGTTAATAGCTTCTGCTTGGTTTACATTTTACATTTCAGAATCAGAGGATTGATGAGAATAATTTCAGATAAAGATGAGCAAATTACTACAAAAAGCAAAACATATGAAATTGACCAGAATAAAAGGGTTAGTTTTGGTCAGTGTAGATCATCATACACAGCTGAAATAAGTTCGGCCTGTGGCTCCTTTCCCACATGCCATTTCCCACTCTCTGTCTCCTGTTTTGTACTCTTCCATTATCCAAATAAAGGCAAAAAGCCCAAACATAAATACAAAACAAAATGAATAAAGACAAAAAGTCTCCCTCATAGTACGTCTCCCGGCTGCAGGGCTTTTCTAACACCAGCCTCATGATCTTGTGGATTAAAAACACAATAATGTCTCTGACTGAAAGTGTTTCATTTGAGTGGTGTGCTGTAGCTGTGAGTGCTAACCGCATCCTCATACTTTAAAAGGCAAGATAATCTCAGCAATAACAAACTTTACAATCACTGACACAATGGTTGATGGAGAAGATTTTCAGAAAGGATTTCAATGTGTCATGTTTTTGTTCTAAGGTTGGAAACCTGTTTGGCTCACATCGCTCTACCATTATCACTCTCTACAACGGGGCCTTCGACTCTTCTTCAGCAATCTTCCTCGTCATCAAAGTGAGAAACTTTCCCACATTTGAATAAAATCAACACACACACACATATATGTATGTATAAATATATATATATATTCACCATCTGATGTAAATACTCTTGCCCCCCTCCCCCGCCCTTCTCTCCCCCTGCAGTTGTTACATGAGGCTGGTGTCTCTCTGCGAGCCTCCTTCCTCTTTCTGTCCGCCTGTGGCATCATTCACCTGCTTAGGACCTTCTTCCTTCTGCCCAGAAAGTTTATTCCCTACCCGCTGCCTGATCACTACATATATGGGTACCACAACAACTCATGTACACATGCTACATCAAGAAACAGGGCTCATAAATGTCTTAATTTTGACTAAGATAAGATAAATGCTTCTTTATGCTTTAAGTGTGTCCTCTGAAAGGAAAATCAAACACAAATAAAAGCAGGCACAGACCAAAATGTCTCCAGCACTACACCTGATCATACCAATACAACGATTGGCATACCCTATAGGCTGCCAGGCTAAGTAGCTAGTTCCCATCATTTTCTTCTAATGAACTTCTGTTCAGTTCTTTAATACCAACACAGTGGAGATAATACTTTCATAATATTCCACATCAATGTCAGTCATCATAGTTTTTGAGGAAATGCCTTGATGGTGCTTTCTGTTGTACAAACAGTTATCCTGTTAGGTGGCTATAATGGTTTGGGACTTAAGTCAAAAACTCAAAAAAATTGCACTCAATCTGTTGCTGACCCATTGTGACATTTTCCAGGATAACTTGTGGAAAATCAAAGAGCTCAGATCCAAACACAAGGAATGGTAACTCACAGAGGACTATAGAGGAATCACCTCTCAGCAAGGACATCAATAAGAAACCAGGTGTGTTTTTACCGCTCCAAAGATCAATTCATCTTAAAAGATAACCCCATTTTCTTTCTCCCCTGTTCTTCATTCATCTCTGATGTTCTCCCCCCTCCTCAGTCGCAGAGAAGACTTTCCGTGAGTGTGTCCTGTCCAGGTTCTTTATGTGGCACCTGCTTTGGTTGTCAGTGATGCAGCTCAGACACTACCTCTTTATCGGCACCCTCAACCCCATGCTGCATCGGATGACAGCCGGAGAGCCTTCACTAGGTAAACACACACTAACACTACGTCATGTTGTCCCTCTATTAGAAAAGATAGACGTAAAGAAATAATTAACTGCTCACTGCTGCCCCTCTGTGGTACCTGATGTGTGCTTGTGTGTCCCTGCAGTGAGCCAGTACATCAATGCCTTTGCTATAACGCAGCTGTGTGGCGTGCTGTGTGCTCCCTGGAATGGCTTAATCATGGACAGACACAAGGGCAAACCTCTTGCTCCAGGTAACATAACAAAATATCATATTAACTGGTGAACAGCACAAGCCATGGGCGCTTTCGTTACTTAAATACAATTACAGAAAATGTCATCAGAAATACCGTAGCAGTACTGATCCAACTTCTTTCCAATTAAAGTGAAAAATCACACACTCTGAAATATTCTTACACGTAAAGGAGAATAAGGTTTTCTTAAGGAGATATCTAGCTTGGGATTGTGTGCAAATTTGTGTGTGTGTGTTTGTAGGAGAGAGTGAGCAGGAGGCCGACCTGCGAGCCTCTGTGCTGTCTCTCTTCCTGACAGCGCTGCAGTGTCTGCTGTTCTCCATCTGTGCCACAACCCCATACCTGCCGCTGCAGTACATCACCTTCATCCTGCAGGTGCTCAACCGCTCCTTCCTCTATGGAGGAAATGCAGCATTCATCAGTGTGGCGTGAGTAAGAAACCCACACAACGTCACACATGTAAACAATTGATAGTAATAATTTTTAAGTATGTTCCTGTGGCAGGCAGCACAAACAAACACAGATTTTATTAAATGCACTATTCACATACTTATATTTAGACATACACTCACTATTTAAGAGATTCAATAACGAGTGACTCAACAACAGATAAGGCTTTGTTTTCAAGCTCTTTTTATTTATTGTGTTGATGAGCATCACAAAGATGCTTCTTGGACCCCCATACCTAAAAAATGTCCACCACACTTAAGTGAGATACACACAAAAAGCCTGCCTGAAATGAAGTATATTAAGTTAAAAAAATATATTTTGATGTAATGTGTACATGCTTCTAATAAATCAGTTATGGATTGGCTTTAGAGTGATCTTTCACAACAAGACTACAACAATGTACTGAATGATGTGATACAGATGCATGAACTCCTGTTGCTCACTATTTACAAATTATAAAGACCCAATAAATGTATCTGATTCCCTTTTAACAGTTAATACAGAGATATTCAAAGTTACTTTAGACATTGATTGCAATGTGATAAGTACGTGCGAAATCCAGCAAACACATCTTGCAAAAAAATGCTGCTTGATTTTATTCCCACTTGTTAGATATAAATATTATATTGTAGACATAAATCCAGTTACATGACTAAACTCTGTCATAACTGGAATCATGTTAATGTTTGTGTTTCGATTAATTAATGAAGTTTTTTTTTATTCTTTAGCGGGATGATTTACAAACTGTAAACATATCACATTAAGTCTAACTGAAGTGATTATTTCTTTATGGAGAAAAGTACAAACCCATGATACATCCAGCATTAATTCATGCACTAAAACACAATAAGTCATGCATTAGTCAGGCATTCCTAGTGTTTGATTTGTTCCCTTATTGTGAAGGATTATCTTATATCTATTTTTCTTGTTCACCTTCTTTTTCAACTCCGTTCTGTGTGTGCGCGTGTGCGCGTGTGCTTGTGCGTGTGCATGTCTGTGTGTGTGTGTGTGTGTAGTTTCCCATCATGCCACTTTGGGAAGCTCTATGGTTTGGTCATGGCTCTGTCTGCAGTGTTTTCTGTGCTGCAGTATCCATGCTTTGCTCTGGTGAAAGGAGTTCTGGGTGGAGATCCTTTATATGTAAGTATTATGAGAAATAAATCCCACCTACTTACTTCTGTCATTATGACATCTACACTTTTACATTGGAACTCTTCCCTGTTACGTCTGCAGGTGAACATCGGCCTGACACTGCTCAGCCTGCTCGCCTTCATCCATCCCCTGTCCGTCTACCTGCACTGTCGCAGTCTGGCCTCACAGCGATCCAAGACTAAAGTCATCAATTAAAGCCTCTGAAAGGAGAGCAATGACTCACACTCAAAACGGACCTGTAACACGGTTACCTCTTCAGTTAGTTTAATTGGAATTGCCTGACGGCCGTGTTGTGTTGCCACTTTTATCCTATCTGGAGAAAGACACCGAGTGATGTAATGTATTTGCAACACATTCACACTTTGAAGCATGTTGAAGACAGATTCAATGTATCTGAAAAATTAAAGATCTCCTGATGAGCTGTGTGCTGCCACTGAGCCTCCATATTAAAGGTATCCTCACATGAGATCTCCAAAATTCATTATTTTATTTTCACTGAGATGTAAGATTATCAGCTCTTGCTAGTGATGCAGAAAAAAAAATAGCTTTCCCCAACTGTTACCTTTGTCTGTGTTGTTTACAGCTTAGTTCACCTGTTATTCATGACTGTTACACATCTTATGTTTCTTGTGTTCTGAAATATTACAACTCAACACATGTATTGTATTTTTGTTTTTGTAATATTTTGTATATGACTGGCTAATTATTAACACAATTGTTACAGTGGCTTAGATAAGCAAAATAAGACAAGCCAAGATAAAGCACTTTATTGTGAAGGTGTGTTCAGACCAAAAGTTAAGTGAACCAGGCCTCCTGAGGGGTGACACGTATACTGAAATGAGTTTGATTTAAAACAAAATTCAAGTCAAGCTAAACTCTTTCTACCATCCTATACAACGAAGGCATAAAAGTCTTCATTTAAAAAATAGATTTTCTTTATGCCCTGGGATTGCAGAAGTACAGTTCAGTCCAAAACCCATTTCAAAAACTAGAAATACTGAAGTTGCTTCTGTGGGTTTTTTTTTTTTTTTTTGCGGAAAAATCTTGTAAGCTGTGAATTTTTTACTCCAGAAGTTATTTCTCCGTTTTTCGTGGGCGTTTTTTGGGCAATTCAACCAAAGGAAAAAAACAACACTTAACTTAATTGACAGGCTCCCAGCAGTTGAAACTAAACACCGGTAGTTGATTTCAATCAGAAAAATCCTGTCACATAACCAAACCAACCTGACCTGGCTCTCAAAGCATCAAACCGAGCTCTGACGAACCTTGAGCAGCTAGTGGAGACAATCATTTTCATCCACACACAGTTCCTGAAGTGGGTGGTGAAACTTAACTTTGGTTTTACATTACAGACACGGTGGCATTTGGTTAACCAACATGTCTTGGTCAACCATCTTGCAAAGTGAGGATAATGCTAACCAATGCAGAATAATACGTTAAGTATTTTGTGGTCAAACTGGGAAAATTTATTCAAGTGGAAAATAATCTTTGATTTCTGTCTGAACATATCTTAAAAAGCTGAAAATACCAAGATTATACATATCAGTATAGACATGTATTTTTTTTAGAATGTAGGACCAAAGATGACAATTTAATTGATTTTGTATAAAAAACATATCATTCAATGATGTTTTATTGTGTATGGAGAGAAATTAGACTGTAAATGCTCACAAATGTGTATCATGTAATCTACTAATGAAAAACTACCAATGTGTAAATGTGTACATTTGTGATTAATGTTAATTTGTGACAAAATCATGATCCAATTTACAAAAAAAAAAAATCATGCAGCATATACAAAGATTTTTTCCAACCACACATATCACAACTGTAATAAATAATATTTTATTCACAGATTTTTATCTTGTCATTATTTGGTTTTCCTAAAACCCTGCTGTGTTTAAATAAATTGAGACATTCCTCCCTTGACATAGTTCCTTTTTTGGGGGATCTTTTTCAGCCTAATTTCTCTCTACTTGTTTAATGTGTATAAAATGCACTCAGTGAAGCCCCTGTCTTGTCAAAGGTCTCAACACAGACTTGATGTCTTCACACCTCACATGATCTAACAGGAAAATTATTTGCTTTAAGGTTTTGGTAGAATTCAGTAAGATGATCACTATGTCAGAAAAAGAATCTAGTGTCATGAAGGATGCTGTTTTATGAAAATAAGCAGCATGTGTAAATAATCACAATTATTTAAGGGATCTTTAAATAAAAATGTGTATGCTTCTTTAACCAGTATGTCACTGTTTAAACGTGAGTATGTATTTCCCTGGAACTTTTTTGAAAGTTACAACAAATTTGAAAACTGTTCATCATGCTCAAAAATAAAATGTATATTTTAATATGATCTTTCATAAATAAATTTGTTATTTAAGATTTAGCTTATAGGAAAGGTTGTATTATGAGAAGAAAACAACTAAATAAAGGCTTACATTCTAGTTCACTTTAAAGGCTGAACCCTGAATAAAACCTGTTGTTGTTTTTTTTACAGTGTGTGGTTCACTGGGTTCATGTTTTCAGCTGATGAGTACTTTTGAAGGTCATAACTCAATAACATTTTAGCAAACCAAACAACATTTAACAGCACACAACATTTTACAAAAGAAAATAGCATCTAAAAAAAAAAAAAAAACAACATTTCTATTTAGATTTTTATCCTCAAACAAAAAATTATTTCAGAAAAGAACCCATGTTTTCTAAAATGTACAAGGACAAGTACCTTCGTTTTCTTGTTGTTATCCAATCACTGGGTGGCACTGTTGCAACAACAAGAAATTGAGCCCTGTAACTTGAGTTCTGAAACCTTCAAGTGTGTTTTGTGAAATATTGTATTGTTTTCTGACAACAAGATTTCTTAAACATGTTTTTCTTGTTCAAAAAACACATTTAGGGAGTTACAGGTTTTTATTTTATTTTTATTTTACTGTCCTTAAAAGTATATTTTAAATATGCTGCATGATACTGTGGTACAAAACGGTAGGGAAACAGGAATCGTCAATAGAAAAACTGGAGCTCCACATCACCAGAAAAACTACATTTAGGAAATGCTTCCATAAATGTCTAATTAAGTTGTAACTTATCCGCTTAATTACTTCAAACTACTGTGGTGGCACAGTAAGCTGTGGTTTGGGCTGAAAACATTATGTTTAGACATGAAAAAACTCTACAGCATGGCGTTAAAAATAAGTGATCATATCTATGAAGTTTCTTAGTTCTGCTTCAGTGAAGCTTCCTCAGACCATTAGCTGCTGAAACCCACCTAGTGTTCTGACTGAATAGTTGACACTTTAGTTGGGTGGGTAAAGAAGGCACAATGTGGTAGGAATAAGTGCATGGTATAACAACATTATCTCTAACTTTGCTGAATCTAGTTCCTTCTTTAAAATTATTTCTATCACGTTATCACTGGACTTCTATAGTTAAGTTGGTGTAGAACTTTTATAAGCAAAGATCTGAGTCTATGAACAAATTCAAAACCCTTAGGATTCCCAGCAGGCTTATAGGACAGTCTGGAGTCTCCAGATGTACTAAAACTCCTCTCTGTCTGGTATGAGTTTTGTGACAGTAGTTGATAGTTTTCACACTGGCATGAATCTTTGAGTGAAAATCTCTGGCAGGGTTTAAACCTGGATTAACAGGGACACTCCCCCACAACAGTCTCTCTCAAGTTCTCCGTGCACCCACTGTGTGAGCACACTGAGCCCCAGAAACAACATGATGTGTGTGTGTGTGTGTGTGCGCGTGTGTTTGTGTGTGTGTGTGTGTGTGTGTGTGTGTGTGTGTGTGTGTGTGTGTGTGTGTGTGTGTGTGTGTGTGTGTGTGTGTGTGTGTGTTGTGTGTGTGTGTGTGTGTGTGTGTGTGTGTGTGTGTGTGTGCGCGCACGCGTGTTTGTGTGTGTGTGTGTGTGTGCACACGCGTGAAGTGAGCATGTGCATACTGACAGCTTCTGTCCTCGCATCTGCGTCATCGATGATCGCAGCCTCATTATCTCAGCAAAGTAAAAAATACAGAGCTGCACTGACAGAATGTGTGACAGCAATACTGGTGAAGGTGGGAGGAGTAGAGGATAAAATAAGCTGGTCTGTTAATGAGGTGATTTGTGTTGGGGTTTTTTTTCTATGGCTCGGCATCTGTCACAGCGACTGAAGATATCGTTATGACACATCAATTTATCAGACTTACTCAAAATGTGCCCACCTATTCTCTTTTATGGGGGGGGGGATGTAACTGCCTCATTTTATCAGTGTCTGTTCTGAGATCATTATTTTGTTTGGATGCAAACTCATACGTAAGCACATTCAACTGTACAAGATGAATGATGGCAGTGACTATCAACTGGTATTCTCAACTGACAGCAAACAAATTGTAAAAGATGGAAAAAGTCTGTAAATATCAGTGCTGACTGTGCTGTACTTTTGGTTATGGGTTGTTTTTCATTGTTTGTTTCAGTTTGTTTACTCAATGAATAGTCTATAAGATTTGGAAGTATTTCTTCTAATTTCTATTGTCAGTTTTAATCTTCCTTGTACATTTACAACATTTCATTTCACAGGGATTATTAAAAGCTCCTGTGAGGAACTTTCAGTTTAAGGTGTCCCCTGTGGACAAAGTGGTACCTCTTTTCTCTTTGAGGATTTTGTCCTGTATATGTCTAAGTATTGTTTTTCTCATTGTAAATATTTGTCTTTAACTTTTTTGTCAAAGGTGCAAAGGGATCGGATGGAGTTTGGAAGTTCATTCCACCACCAGGGTAGTGGGTGGGAGGTAGTGTAGACCTGGTTTATAGAGTTTGGGTAAGGAGGAGCCGTTTTTGTCGCTGTTTGGTAAGCAAGCAGCAGAGTTTTAAATTTGATATGAACAGTAACTGGGAGCCAGTGTAAGGAGATGAACAGCAGAGTGACATGTGGTCTTTTGAAGGTTGTACCAAACTGTATATTTGATCTGTGGTTGCATAGAGGGACTGGCTGGGGTGACAAGGAGCTCAGTCTACGAAAGGTTGAGTTGAAGGTGGCGTTCATTCATCCATTTAGAGATATCAGCAAGGCATTACGAGATTCTTGCTGAGAGTGTAACATCGTCTTGCGGGAATGATAGGGAGAGCTGGGTATCGTCAACATAGCAGGGAGAGGATTATTGAACCAAGTGAGCTTGTGTATACGGAGAAGAGAAGGGGACCAAGCACTGACCCTTGAGGCACCCCAGTGGATAAACTGTGCGCTTTGAACACTTCTCCCTTCCAAGACACTGTAAAAGATTGCCGGGGAGGTGGGACACAAACCAGCAGAGAGCAGATCCTGAGATGCCAAGTTCAGAGAGCATGGATTGGAGGATTTGATGGTTAACTATGTCAAAGAAAGCAGACAGGTCTAGCAGTAATAGAACTGAGGACTGACCCGCAGCTCTAGCAGCTCGTAGTGATTCTATGACTGACAGTAGTACAGTCTCAGTAGAGTGGCCCCGCTTAAAGCCTGACTGATTCGGGTCAAACAGATCGCTTCTGGACAGGAACTCAGAGACTTGATTAAAGACTGTGCGCTCTAGTATTTTTGACAGAAAGGGCAGAAGAGAAACCGGTCTGTAGTTTTCAACCTGGGCTGGGTTGAGCAGAGGGGTTACCCGAGCCTGAGAGGAGTAGCTGGAGCCAGTCCACCTCCTGAGCACTGCCGAGGTGCCCTTGAGCAAGGCATCGAACCACAAAACTGCTCAGGAGTGCTTCCTGTGGGCAGCCCCCTCACTCTGAGACCTCTCCATTAATAAATCTCCATAGGATCCTGTTTGTGCATGTGTGTGTATTTCGGCCTATGTTTGTGCAGCATGTTCATTAAACAGAGTGTAAAAAACTGATTTTCCCCTTGTAGGTTTATAAAGGATAAATTATTGTTATTATTATAACATCCAAATCCCATTTGACTACAATGTTGAGGCTCTCTGATACCAAAACAGGCATGTTTTCCATTTAATTGTAAATTTGAACCTTACACACAGAAATTTATTCTCTGACACTGCAACAAAATATCAAATGATTCATTGTATTGAGTCACTGCTTCACACTTTTCTACATATTTCAACTCACACTGCATTAAAAAAGCTTCGATTTAAAACCTTTGAAATTTAATTACTAGCAAACACTTGTGGGATTTCTGATAACATACTGTTTCAACATATTGCACAAGTCGGGTCATAAAAACTGGTGTGAATGAACTGGATGGTTTGTGACATTGTCTGACAGAGGAAACTTTAAGATGGAGATAAATAGTAAATAGCATAAAGAGATAAATAGTATAGCATGCTATAGCATTAGTATAGCATGCTCACTGCATCTTAATCTGTATATTATTCGTATAGCATGCTCACTGCACCTTAATCTGTATATTATAATCCTAAGAATACACTTATATTTATAGCATTTATTTATATTTATAGCATCCCATTAATCCAGCCATCCAGATATACCTAATAATTCACTTTTTTTAGTCTACATCTGTAAATTTTGTAATTACTGTACATAGCACAGACTCTTGCACTTTCTGCTTATTTGCACTTCTGGTGAGATGCCAAACCTCATTTCGTTACTCTATACTTGTATATGTGTAATGACAATAAAGTTGAATCTCATCTCATCTCATCTCAAATGTGCCATACACCATTCAACAGTCAGTTTTCACAAAGTATCAGAGCTCTTATTCTGGAGTGTTCTTGCCTATTGACCCTGATGTAACCAGTGGGCAGAAACAGCACTGTGCGTGTGTGTGTGTGTGTGTGTGTGTGTGTACATGAGTGGGGGTTATGGATGGAGTCAGCAACACATTTTGTTTTTAGGATCAGGACAGAACCTATGAACATGCTGTGTTTACACCAGTTCAAATGCCAGTGAGCCTGTGATTCACTTTGACACATGCAGCAGGCAAGTGAGAGGATGTACA